GCTCGCATTTCTCCAAAGGTTGCATCTTTTGTGACTGAGGAGTAAATGTGCCCACTGGGTTGCAAACTATCAACGTAGGTACTCATGCCCTGCCTCATTCATCAACATGGTATTTGCCATAATGTGTGAGTAATGTCCTATTGCCTTCTGTATAGAACAAACATGTTAGTTTCTATCCAAAAGAATAAATGGACGCCAATCTGATACTAGAAATGGCCATTCAAGTATTATTTAGAAAACACTTAAATCTTCCTGGTCCTTTTTTCGACCGAACTGAAATTTTGCAACATGGTATGGTCAATCGTTTTTCCAATTCCTGCAATGGACTTTAGTTCTTTTTCACTGCCTAATTCAGCAACATTTCTGGAATGTGTTTTACTTCGGATTCTGGATACTTGGCTCCTCTGGTTAGGCTCTCAGAATACACCATTTGTTCCACCAACATCATAGGTCACAATTTGCATACACAAAAGTCTCTTGTGGCACATCAACAATGGTGGGGTATGCCATACTTAAAGCCATGATATATTTCACTTTTGGTCATATTCCTCTGCTCAGAATCCACCTGCAACTCAGTTGAAAACTTGCCCTCTACGTGAGCTGCCTGTGCCACCTCCCATCTCTAAACAAAGAGAGACAGAATCTCGCATTGTCCGTGTCCGTATGAACAATATCTGTGGCAATGGAAACCTTTATCGCAGCATTGTGGTAAGTTGTCAAGAGAGGGCAGTGTTGTGGAAGGGAAGCCATAAGTTCTGGATTGCAGGAAATATCTGGGGCAGGTTTAATAACCACATGACCAGAAAGCATGCCAGAAGATCAGACATGATGAGGGTTCTCTGATTGCGTAAGGAGTGTGGAGACTTATTAGGAAGCCTCAGATATGAACAATGAAGAAAATTGGGAGGTTCCCCAGGGTTACAATTTCTGTAAATGGAAGCTGTGAACCAAGAAAGTGAAGAACAAGTCTCACAAAATAAGTGATCTAGAATTAAAATGAACCAAAGTATCTAGAACGAGGTTTCTCAACATTGGCAACTTCCAGGTGTGTGGACTTTAACTCTCAGAATTCTCATCAATAGCCATGTTGGCTGTGGAATTCTGGGAGTTGAAGTCTACACCACCTGGAAATTGCCAAGATTGAGAAACTAGTGGGAAAGAAGAGAGCTAAGGAATCCATACATACTTCTGAAAACCTTTGTGGTGATTCTGTCCTTGAGCATTCGGAAGTATTTTTGTTGGATGAGAATAAGACTGGATTGCTTCCATCCTTTAGAGTAGTTTTTTCCAATCTGATGCTTTCCAAATGTGCTAAATTTCAAACTTCCATACTTCCTACTCAATGTGAGCAAAGGCTGAAAATTATGGGAGTTGTCCTATGCAACTGGAGGACACTAGTTAGGAGAAGGCATTTCTGGAGATTTAAACATCAGATTTGAGGACTGTGGTGTATACAGACATATAATTAGTGTACTGTATTCTTTTTCATTTTTTTCAAAAGCAGGCAACATTTTTGGATAAGGGATCTACTTAATGCAGTACATTAAAGAATGTGCAACTCAGAGCCCACTATTTGTCCACTGTCACCACGTTTTTTCTTTGGTTGGTAATGCAATAATACCTCGGTTCACGAACGCTTCTGTTCACGAACAATTCGGTTCACGAACAGCACCGTTCGGAAAATTTTGCTTCCGTTCGCGAATGCCGCATCGGGTGACGAAAAGGATCAGCGGCCCTTTTCCCTGCTGTGACACATGGTCGTGGCTTCCTGTGGGCGAGGGGGACTCTCCTTCCAAACAATAACCGCCTCCCCACCCGCCTTCCTGTCCTCCACACCAGAAGTCGCATCAAGCAAGGTTAGTGTTCTCTCTCTTCGTACTGCACTGTACTTTGTTTCATGTGTTTGTGGTTTAAAAAAAAATACATATGGTTCAGAACAGATTAACTGTATTTACATTGAACCTTATGGGAAAATTTGATTTGGTTGGCGACCAAAATTGGTTGGCGACCACATTCGTAGGAGTCAGAACGGATTAACCGTATTTACATTGAACCTTATGGGAAAATTTGATTTGGTTGGCGACCAAAATTGGTTGGCGACCACATTCGTAGGAGTCAGAACGGATTAACCGTATTTACATTGAACCTTATGGGAAAATTTGATTTGGTTGGCGACCAAAATTGGTTGGCGACCACATTCGTAGGAGTCAGAACGGATTAACCGTATTTACATTGAACCTTATGGGAAAATTTGATTCGGTTCGCGACCAATTCGGTTCGCGATCAGAGTTGTGGAACGAATTAAGTTCGTGAACCGAGGTACCACTGTATGTCATTTATATGTGTTGTTTCATCCTGTAACAGTGTTTTACACTGAGTTGTCACATAGTTGGGCCTATCAGACTCACCTCTTGTGACCTGTAAGGGGATGAATTTTCCCTACAGATCACTAGCCAGGATAAGACCACAGCTGTAATACAGCGGGCCTTGCAGAAGCACAAACTGGAAGAGGACTCACCATGCAACTACCAACTTCTGCAGCTTTGGGGGGGTGGTCAAGGTAAGAATCACAGAGGGGGATGGAGGGGAGATGCTGCCGGGATTGCTCACACTCTTTCATTCTTTCTGTTTCCCTTTTTCTCTCCTGAAGAGCTGCTAATTCCTGACAATGCGAATGTTTACTATGCTATGAATCCTGCTGGACTCCATGACTTCCTCCTGCTCCAGAAAAAGGGAATCACCAGTGAATCACACCTGAGGACACAACCTGGAAGCAAAGCCGCTCTTCGCCACATCCCCTCTCTCAAGGATTTTGGCACCGGTGCTCTTGCTGCCAGTTCATGCTTCATATTTTCACACAGTGCACCAACTAGCCCAGTTTCACGTTACCCATCACTCTCTGCTGAGGATCCACACTTTAGATCATGTCTTTCAACACACCCATTTCCAGCTCCTTCCCCCTGGTTCCTGGAAAATCAGCCAGCAATAGACACCCCTGACTCTCCCCCTCCCTGTCTGTCTCTTCCTCAACACCCACTTCCTTTGGAAACCATGAGCCCAGTTCTCCCTCATGTTGTACAGAAATTGCAGGCACCTCCTCCTGTGCCACAGTCACCCCCTTACACTTCCCAGAGGACATCATTTTGGTCAGAGTCCCCACCTGTCTATCCTCTAGAAACTCAGAGTGATCAAGAGTCCTTGAGCAGCATAGGAACAGATCGTGAAAGCCAGAGATAGCTTGTCTGATTATAACATTTCTGTAACACTGAATACACACAAGTGGCCAAGGAACTGAGGAATCCATGAGAGACTCTGATTATTCTGGATTGGTCATCTGTGGGATCCTGTTGCTTTGCCCACCCAGATTCCTCCTAGGAGACCTAGAATCATAATGCCAAAAGGTAATCAATTCTAAAAGGCACCTTATACCATCCGGGACTACAAGTAGCAATTTGAGAAGCCCCAAAATGATAGTGCCTGGTTGCTTCAAAGAAGTGAGCTAATCTTTTGTTACAAGGGAAGGGAATGTTCACACATTTGTGGCCTCCAAAATTCAATAGTGTAGTCAAGGTCAGACCTGTATAGATGAATGGTTTGTGATAGCTGCTATCTATGCTGTGCCAAAGCATAAATTTCTTTTCACATGATACTGTAATATTTCTCATTTTTGTTGCTTGTGGAATTATCATGTGGAGTCTACACAATCTACCCCTGTTATATGCTTTGCTGCAAAGAGACCCACCAAATCCCAAACACAGTGGTAGGCAGGTATGACAAATTTCAACATGCTTGCCCTTCTTCTTTCCTGCTCCCCAGATATTCCAGTTATTGTGAGAATGTATGCATAAGTTTCATATAGCAGTACAAATCTTTTTTAATTAAATTAATCAAGGTTCTCAATGCCAGAATATCCTAATTATTTAGTGCTACTTGCTGAATTCTATCACAGTTATCAGTAACTGGGTTGGAATAACTTTATGAACAAGATTCATGAAGCAGCTAATATAGGAACCAAACAGTCGTCCATAGAAGTGCTATGGCAAGCCTGCCCAATTCCCTTGAGGGTAGATCTGAGGCTTTGAAGATAGTGCCCCACTCCATGGCTGTAGTTCAGTCTAACTCATTCCCTGATTCAGAAAAAAAAAAGGGGGGGGGGTCCCTGTAGCATTAAAACAAGAAGGTCCGGGTCTTTCCTCCTGCTATTCTTAAATTGAGAATCTGCTTAGGATTTTGAACTAGACTTAACCAAGGAACCCATGTAACGGCTGAGTCAAATATCAGAAAGCAGAGATGGGCCTAAGTTCTCAATTACATAATGGGAGCACAATTTCAGAATGGAAGCCTACTTGAGAGTTACTCATTAAACCCAGATGTCCTTGCAGCCAGAATATGTATGATGGTCACCAGCTGAATAAGGGTAAAATACTTTGAAGGAATGCTTTGCTTTGATAAAACTTCAGCCAAAGCCTCTGCCCCAGAAGAGGTTTCACAGTGGTCCCCTCACTTCTAAGATCAAAGCAAAGTGACCCTGCTGCTTCTCTTCTGCCTGCTTTGGAGCCCTTCCCAGTCCTTGCTCACAGAAGTCGCACTACTGGAGAAAATGGAAGACGTTTCTCCCACAGCACTGGACCAAGTGCTTCCAGGCTGGGAAACACTGCAGGTACAAAGCCTGGAGCCCCTTCTGCTCATGCTGAAAGTCTCTCAGAGTGGGATGCTTCAGCGAAGGCTTCAAGCAATCCCCAAATCTTCCAGGATGGAAGTATTTCTGCCACTGCTGGGTGAGAGGGCTGAGAGGGGCCTTCTCTTGCAGTACTGGCCCCAAGTGATTCAAGGCCACCCAGACTGCTTTATCAGACAAATGTGGTTCCATAAAGGTTACCTCCATGGCCCAAATGGCTTCATCAAAATTAGGTGGTGTTGCTTCATACAAGCCTAGTAGCTACAGCCTCCAGGAATGTGCTTGAAGCTGCTCATTGTGGAAAAATGAGTTATGCAGATCATTGCCAGCTTGTGAGACTGTGAGAGGGGTCATCCTTGGCCCTTGAACCCTGGTTGTTTGGCCAATCTCTGGAATACTGAGTATAATCTCTTCACTGCCTCAATGTTTTGTCTTCTTGTCTCTTGACTAAAATATGGACTGGATTGGCTTGTGTTTCTGCACTGACTTACTGATTCTCTCCTGTGTTTCCATATTTGGAAATAGATCTTGGAATGTAGAGCTACACTTGCTCATCTTAATCCCTAACCTCTGAGAGGACTGACATAGGTTTCCCATGTACCCCTGTAAGAAAATTGTGAAATTTATTCTGAAACTTCCAGATAGACATTTCAGTTGAAGAAAACACCAACAGAGTATGGAGACTGCTTTCATGAAATGCACTTGAACAAGATTTTGTTTTTCCTCCTCCATGTTAAAATGTCGTCAGATCCAGCACTGGGAATGCCTGTTTTCCAGTACTAAAGGAGAACGGTCCTTGGTAAAGAAGGTAAAGGGTGAGGGCGTTGAACAGATTTATGGGGATGATTTTAGCAAGGAGGTGGACTGAACATTACAATGTCTGATTTGACCTTGCAACTCCTTGATTTGTTTGGTTGCACTGCTGTCAGAGACTTGGTAGTTCTGCTGGAGAGTAACATTCAGCTTGGAAAGGGAACAAAATCAGAGTTGCAAGGAGGAGGAGAACAGAAGGGAGAAGAAATGTACTCAAATGGGCCCTGGCCGTTTGAAAGGGGTTGGGATTGAGTGTGTGGGGATGCACAATTCGGAGACCCCCAAATTAAGATTCAACCATTACCCTCCCAAGGATAGGCTCAAGTGCAGGGCTGATCTGGTATCTTGGCTGAAGCAGGAACTTTAAAATACTGTGTCACACATAGCTAATAGATTCTTTTCCTTTGCTGATGCTTGAGATCTTAGTACTTGAAATGTGTGTTGTTCTGCAGTCTGGGGAGAGTTTCTCTCTCACACAGTTCATCTGGCAGGCCCTGCTTTCTCTGTCTTTGCTACTCACTTACTCCCTAGAGCAAAAGGCACTTAAGTTCAGGTCTTTGGGTGCTCCAGTTATAGTCGTCCAGGCAAAGGGGAAAGTGGCTAAGTGGCCTTTGGCTGAGTTCAGTTTGTGGGGTGCAACTTCTATTGGACAGCCTTAGAACAGTATATTTCAGGCTGCCCTAACCCTAACCTTAACCTAATTAAATTTTAATATACATTTTAATTTAAGAAAATATGTATTATATTTTAACACACACGCATGCACCCACATATACTGATCCTCATTCACTTATAACTTGACTGCTGCTTCCCAAGTTTAAAATAAAGTAAGAGATAATGAGAGTGAGTGTACATATCCATAGGAGTTTGGTGGTGTACCACACAATCTGGGGAAATGCAATCCCAGGCCACGGTTGGTGCACCTAGGCTTTAGCTCAAGCATATAAAGAGAATTCTGTCCATGAGATGGGATTATCTTGTGGTCCCTCCCCACTATGATGCCAGTGTGCCTAGAGATACCTACTCTGAGGCCATAGTATCCAAACTGGCTTTCTATGGGTTTTTTTTTCTTCTTGATTTTAAGTCAGTGTTAACTCCTGGTGACTGCCTGGACTAGTCCCTGCAGTTTTCTTGGCAAGGGTTTTTTGGAAGTGGTTTGCCATTACCTCCTTCCTAGGGCTGAGAGAGAGTTACTAGCCCAAGGCTG